AAAAAAAAGGCCTGCAAATGGTGCATCCGTATCCTCATTCATGCGGTGAATCGATGAGGTCCACTGACCGAAGACGGGTTGGATATTCACCGTATCTGCTTGTATCAAGAGATCAAGGAGCGGTGACGGCCATTGCCTCATCGTGACCAGTTAGTTAGCAGCACTGCGTCCTGAGCAGTCAACTCTTGTTAGTTGCGCATTAGCCACCAACCTAGGTGACTCCGAGTCGGTTATCTCATTTTGTCGGTCAGAGTGAGAGCATCGGAGCTAGGAAGTGATATGCCTTCCATTCATGGTTTGGCTTTTTCGATGGCTTTTGTGTACTCAGTACTGTAGAGTGGAAGGGAGTTGCCAACTGAAGGTGTCATAGTAACTAACGCACTAGCTCGAAGCATTGGTCTGGATATGATTTCCAAAACAATGCGTGTACCATGTCCCTTCCTCTTTGGTTGAACGCTGTTCAATTTCCCTTGAGTGAATAAAAAAGCCTTTTACAGTGGCTGACCATCTGGCTCAGTGCTGAAGAAAGGTGTGAAAGACTTTGATGAAAGGCCCAGATCATTCATTGATCAAATAAGAGTGGGTCCCCTGCTCTATGGCGTTTTCTCTTCTTTTCAGTCAATGCGCCGAATATTGGAAGGATGCATGGAAGCATGAAAATGTGAAGCTTAGCCCGCCTAACCTAAGCCAGCTCAGCTCATCCAAATTGCATTGTGCTATCCCTAATATCTGCAAATGCGACAGATCGCTAGACAGGATGTGGGTATTGATGTTATGCCGTTCTGACTCATACAAAGTCGCTTATGTCGGTGTCTAATGATTGTCAATCAGTATACGGCATGGACTAATGCGTAGGTAGCTACCAGCTGATGGTAGGCTGGAAATCATAGGTGCAATATCCAACAATCCAGTGATGTTAATAAAGAACAACATGGCAGAAGGCTCGGAAAGAATCTGTACCAAAAGTCACCAGCGCAAACAGCAGAGCCAACACTTCCAGAGTCCTCTTCATGCGCCAAGCTGCCGAGTTAGCAGAGGCCTTGTCAATTGAGCTTTGACCCGAACTTTACTCAAAGCTCAAGCAAGTCAAAGTGTTGGTGCGCAGTAATATCCACTGGCCCGTGGGAGCGAGGAGATCGACCAGGTCTTTCCAGGGGTTGCTGGACGGTTGCTGTTGGCTCAGAAGTACCGTCTGTACGGATACTCTGTACCCCAGGGTCCTGTCTGTCTCCGTGCATCGTCCAGAGACTCGGCAAGTAATTTCTGCATGGCACAGAGTGCCGCAAAATTTAAGACACATAGGGTAGGCTCGTCATTATCGCAAACATCCCGAGACGATATGGGTTGTTCCTGGAGGGCACCTGGACGCGAGCAAACTCGAAAGATGAATTAGTCGTTTGTTCATAACCAAGAGCTTCTCGTGACATTAAACCGAACTCGAGAATCATGATGACATAGCTGCCATGACGTCTCTGACCTGCGGGTACCTGAACAACGAAATGAATTCTAAAAGGTGAGGTTGGGAAAGCACAGCTCAAGCGTTGGCCCTTGCTTGAAACGCATACAATTCATTCGACCTCAATCTTATTGTCGCTGATGATGATGATAATTTCCGGCTGGATATCTGTTACGCACTGAACTTGGTCTATAGTCAAGTAAGGCAGGCGGTAGACATCCAATGTAAAGACAGACAGCAGCCGAGAGGTAAGTAGGTGTAGTACCGTACCTTCCCCAGGTAGAGACCAATTGCCAAGATAATTTGCGAAATATCCGAGGTAGGTACGGTCCGTAAGGATTAACGTCAACAAGGGCGGAAGCTGGCCGCATGGAAAGAACAAGCTACTGTACGGCGAGTTTACATCGACGAAGTGATCAAGAAAAAGCAAACACCCAATAACTACCTACTGAGGCAGATTGCTTGGCATCCATGTCGATGCTTACTACTCTTGCTACTGTACATTACCTGCAGTACTTCGATCTTAAGAGTCACCTGCCTGCACCTTTGCACGTGAGACCGGAGAAACCGCACCGAAGAGCGCCGCATTGTACCGCACAGGTGCTGCGACTGGCCAAGGAATGGCCGAGCCCTGGAGGGGACCTTTTGATGAGAGCGATAATGAATGACTGGTTTGTGTACCTATTCTGGTGATCAGTGTCCGTGCTGTGTTCGCCATTGACACATAACAACTTCAGGGCAAATTGAGGCAGTGGGGGTAGCTCTACGGACGGATACGTCTGCGGACACTGAGTCTGAACTGATGAGCGAACTCGAGGGACCGATGCATGGCTTCGATGGAAGCGATTCTACGAAATAAAAAATAAAAAATGTGAGACTTGTCGGATCTAAATGTACCGAGAATATGGATGCACCATGCTCAAGGGTCTTTTTTGGAGTGGTAGATTAGGGGCTCGGACCCCTCATGGCAATACGTACAGTATTCTTGGATGTATGGTACATTGAATTGTAGAAGTTTAGGTACAGGGCATAAGAGCTAATATGTGCAATACAATGCAGCAGGTAGCTTATGCATTCACTTACACGGCAGCGCCGGTTGATGTTGGGTATCAAGATTCCCGTTATCTTTCACCTCTTTTCCAACGGCCCGTGATGGCTGAGCATGGCCCGGTGAACCTTCTTCTCCATGATCTGCAATTCCAGTATCCGTAGTGGAAATACGAAACTTTAGCCAGGAGAAGACAGTACAGTACCGCCAGGACCATCCGTCTCTTTCTCGCGCTCTGGGTTTCACAACTTTCACTAAAGGTTACCCTAATAGTACAAAGTATACAACATCTTGAACATCAACTGAATTTCAAGCGCATCCGCAAATGGATGGAACTTTGGACTCGCATATGACCTCTGACCTTTGACGTACTGTAACATCAGACATGCTTCTACTGGCTATTGATGCACACTACTAAGGTACGTTCAGTGTGGTCTTGTGTATAGTGCAGTCGGCATTGAAAACATATTCCACTTGAGATTCATGAATAGTTCTCTAATCTTTGGCTCAGGGCGCCAAAATAGAGTAGCCCATTTGCTGGTCTAAGCTAGACCAAGGTGACAAAATTATTTCGTCTCTAATGCTCTTTTCTGATACCCTGACGATGGATTCGAGTTACGTACAGCATGATTTTGCGTTCAATGCCTCATATAGCGCGCCATGAGCTAAGTCGGTAGTAATGGATAATTCTTCCAAACTAAAGTGCCTGCGCTACCCACTACAGTTTCAGGAATAAGAAAACTCAGAGGGAAAAACCAGGCTAGTGGACCTGAGCGACATATCGGCCGCGCGCTACACGACGCCTTCCAGGAGTCGGGCTCCACGCCACGGCCACGAGGCCTCCACTGTAACTCAGCGCACCACCACAATCTCCCTCGTTTACCACTTTACCTTTGCGCACCTCCACCCAGCCATCATCTCCCGTCTGGAGCTTGTACCTTTTGGTTTGGACGGTCCGTCGCATGGCCAGCTCGTGAGCATCCATTCTTCCATCCATCCATTTCGAAGTTGCGGTGTTGACCAGTTCCATCGCCTGTCGCGCTTATTTGCTTTTACATGCGTCCTATGTTAGTAGATACGGTCAAGTGCAGTGGTATCAGGTATCCTCGTGAGCGTCTGCTTACTTACATGCTTTTCTGCTTACCTTACTAACTCTAATACTGCACAGTTCTTTGAACTCTTTCCTACCTCGTTTATCCTGTGACCGCGACGTTTCTGCCCGCTTCGTTGACCGTATGCGGCAATCATCGACCGACCTAAACCCCAATTATTCACTCAGCTACAGTACAGTACTGTACAGTACTTGACCAAAGCAACAAGTCTAGTTTACGCAAGGGCAGCAGAAGAAAACACAGACCACACCAGCGGGTAGCGACGTCAGGTTCGCTTCTCTGGGCTTTACGATCTACCTACAGTACAGTACCTACTTGCTACCCTACCACAGCAACCAGAAAAGCTGCAGACCACCACTGTGCTGTACCTTAGTACCTACGGATACAGCTCGCGGATCCAGGTACAGTGACTTTCATCTCGCTGCTGGAAGCTCTCCCTCCACTTGGTTCGCAGTGCATGGGGTGGCAGAAAAAAAACGGGCAGCAGGGGTCCACCAAAGAAAAAAAAGAGTCTTCGCCGACATCATCCCCCAGTCACAGCCAAGCATCTAGGTTCCTCGACCCCCTGGTCTTGTTTAGCCTCCTCCGACTGTCAACTCGGCAGGGTCGGTTCATCAACTGGCTCCAAATCTACCTGCACCTGGCCCGCACAAGCCCGCCCACCCCCGGCAGACCGTCTTTTGTGCCTTGAGGTTTGAGGCTGTCGGTCCCAGATTTGCGCTCGACTTGGAGTCGACATCATACTCGCCCAAGAATCGATCCGTCCGCTCGCCAAATTTGCGCCTTTCTTCCCTCAATCCCCAGCTCTTCTACAGTCTTGAGCGCGTACCTTTCTAACGCTCACGCTGACCTCGCCTCTCAGCACAGTACAATTCGTTTCGCTACCAGCGTCGCGTCTGTGCTCCCCCACCGCTGTCCATCTCCCAGGTACCGAGAGAGCTTGTCGAATCTCCATCTCGTCTCTGCCCAACTGCTGATCCTACCGCGTCACCGGGGCCCGGGCTTGCTGGAAGAGTCTACTCGACATCTCGTTTCTCTCTGCCTGTCTCTCTACCTCTCACAAACTTCACTCACTTCTCATTGACGGTACGGTACTTCGTACACATACATGTCATCATACCCAGTCGTTTCAGACACGCCCACCCCCATGCTCTCCAGGTCTCTCAACCTCTCTTGCTGAAGGGCCCAATTATCACCCGCCCCTCCAGCTTCCAAAGCAATTGGAAGCTTCACTTCACTCCCCGGGGCTTTCTTTTTGTTTCGCCTCTGCCATTATCCTCTTGTACCTATCCATGGCCACCGCCTCTACGTGGTCCCTGCTTCCCTCTTCGCCTTGTTCCTGATTATGTGTGCAAGTACTACAATACATATATAGTACTCAAGCATGGATCCAGCACCTCCCGATAGTAAACGTCCGCGCCTCTCTTCGTGGCCCGTCGGCACACCTCAACAAGGAGTATCATTACCACATCCTCACGCTCATCAACTTCCACCGCCGCCGCCTCCGCCTCCGCCCGGCGCTCTGCATCATCCTCCTCATCCTCCCCCGAGCCCGTATCAGCATTACCCTCCGCGACCTATCGAACACTCTTCAGCTCCGCCGACGCCTTCTCACGCTGCGCCCGCGCAACCGCATCACGAACCCGATCGTCGCCATCATGAGCCAGAGCCCTATCCTCCTGTTCAAGAGTACCACCGGCCGCAACATCCACACCAACATCCGCAGCAGCACCCGCAGCAGCACCCGCAACAACACCCACAACAACACCCACAACAACACCCACAACAACACCCACATCAGCATTCGCAGCAGCATCCACAGCAGCACCCGCAGCAGCACCCGCCTCTGCCTCCGTCGCCGGCGCATCCAGCGCATCACCCATACCCGCCCTACGGTCCAAGAGATCCTCCGATAAAACGAGACCCTGCTGAGGATCAACGCCGTCCTAACTCGACGGGCCATGCGCCCGAAGGCATGTCGTCAACGCCACATCTCCCGCCGACTTCGCTTCCACCACCTCCGCCGCCTCCTGGCGCATACTCGGATAACTCGCGACACATGAATTACGACAGTGCGCCTTCCATGCCCCCGACCCCGGGTGGCTACCGCGCACCTAGCTACCCCCCACCGACTCCTGTACAGCATCAGGCACCGTACGAGCAACATGGAGGCTACGCCTCAGGCCATGAGCCATTCTACAGCGTGTACTCTTCGTCAGTCCCTGCCAAGAAGAAGAATACGCGAGCTTCCCAGGTACGATCGCTTCTGAGCGCCAGTTTGCGACAATGCTAAATAGTGAATTAGGCGTGTGATAGCTGCCGGCAGCTGAAGGCTAAGTGCGACGAGACCAAACCATGCAAGACCTGCAAAGAAAAGGGCGTGGAATGCAAGTACCGCGACCCTGTTCCCAAGGCGTAGGTTTTTGCACACTATTTCTACGAATCTAGTAACTAAAAACGTTGAACAGTACGGACAAGGCCCAGGCCGATATTCTGGATAGTCTCAGCAATGTTCAGAGCTCACTTCATAACATCCTCTCGCATATGGGACGATTTGATCAGAGGATGGTCAAGTTGGAAACAATTTTACCAAAGCATGTTGCGGCGTCAACACTGAAGACCGAACCCTCGATCGAGGAGGAGTACAAGCGAGCGCCGGCATCACCCTATGTAGCCAATGGCGCCTCTACGGACCCTTACTATACCGACCCTCACCGCGATCATCCGTCATCTGAACCTATGCCACTACGCATGATGGCCGAAGACGAGATGGAGGTTGAGCCTGGCCCACCCGTACCCCCTGGAGAGCCAGCCATTCCTATCAATCATACCACTTTGGCGGGTCTGCTTTTAGAATGGCCCTCAGTTCGCGAATTGACAAAACATCACATTGAGCGAGAAGGAATTCGATACATCAGCGAGTATCCTATTAGCCAGGAACAGAACCGAGGAGTATTGATTGTTTATGGACGAGGTGAAGATTCTCATCCATCACGACACGTTCGAGAACCCACCGACCATGGCAACCTGGATATGGCTGATGATTCATCGGACATGGCATCTCCTTCGCCAGCGGCTGATTGGGGACAGCTAGGTGGACTTAGCCCTCCTGATCAAGTAGAATACAAGGGTGGTGTTCTCGCCTTCGATGGAAACCCCGACTTTTCAGAGTCGAAAGTATGGGCTTATGTCGAGAGTTTCAAGGAAAATATCCTCAACATGCACCCGATCATTCAGCCCAAGCTTCTGGATTATTGGGTCAGACACTTTTTGGATAATCTCCCGGCCTCTCATCCGCGCTCCGCAAAGCCTCAGACATCCAAGCCTACATTTGCTGTAGGAGGAGGTTCGCAGACGCCGGAAGCTGCAGGTTCAAAAAGGAAGCGATCGCCAGGGCCGGATGGTTCCGAGCCACCCACACCCGCGCCACAACGTGCTGGCCGACCCGATCGGTCCATCCACAGCGCTTTGGTTCTCACTGTTCTAGCTCTGGGCAAGGTCTGCCTGCATCGTGATAATGTACCCGATGTCGTTCACTCTACCGAGCCACTTCCGCATGGTAGCCCAGCCATCCGCAACGGAGCCATTCCACCCTCACCCAATCAAGGCTCCCCTCCTGGATACTCATCCCACTCGCACTCCTCAGGCCTACCGTCGCCCAAGGAGCAGGAACGAAATATACATAGTCGCCGATCTTCAATTCATGGCGTGGGTGGATTTCGCTCCGGCTACAGCCTAAAGAAGAACTATGAGGTGATCCCTGGCTTGGAGTATTTCGCCTATGCTACAGATATTCTTGGAAATCACCTCGGCGCATACAACAACATGAAGAATGTCTATGCCAACATCTTTGCTGGATTGTATCATGGTCAGCTAGGAAGACCGATGGAAAGCTTTGCTTTTATTCACAAAGCTAGCCACAAACTGCAGGTCATCATGAGACCGTAAGTTCTAAGAAACCCTTCGAATGATATCAGTAACTAACATGATTCCAGGAGCTTGGATAAGATGAGAAGAATCAAGCGTAACAGCGAATTTATCCAGGAGACCAAGTACAACCAGCTTGCTCTGACTTTCTGGACCTGTCTGCAGCTTGAGAGTGATCTCATTGCTGAGATGCAGCTTCCACCTTCGGGGTTGCTCTCTTATGAGGATGACATGCCCCATCCCAATATGAGCCTCTTGGAGGGCTTCAACCAACGCATTCTGGACAGTTATCCTGGCCAACTGTATCTGCGAACTCACCTGAACAGCATCCATCGAATGTTTTATGCGCCTGAAGACCCCGCCAAGGCAGGCAAGGACAAGTTCAGAAATGTTGGAGTCGTATCTGACGCCGTCTCCGGCATGCACTGGGTTGCACCAAGCTTCGCATTCCGTGAGGACGACCCCCCAGCCGACGATATATTGGCTGCAAGATTGCGGGCCAAGTACTGGGGCGCTCAGGTTATTACCTATCGTCCGTTCATTCGACAGATTCTTCAGTTCTCTCACTCAATCAAGAACCACGCTTCGAGCCCCAACTTCCCCAGCGTCAGCTCGGAATTCCGACAGGACGTGACTGCGCCGGTCATCCACCCCAAAGCTAGGACAATTGGAGATATCGACCCCCAGGTAGTCGAGTTGGCTAAGAAGGGCATCAAGGCGCTTATCGAGAGTACTCGCGCCTTCCATGGTTTAGGAGATAAGAGGCCGATCATCACAAACATTTTTGGTACTGCCCATGCGTAAGTTCCATTGTTTCCACACTGTCTACTGAAAACATACTAACCACCTGCAGTCAATGGGGTAACCTTTTGGTCCTTTCGGCTGCTTTCCGCGACCCTGTACTTCACAGCTATGTGGATGAGGAACTGCTGCGAACTTTGTTCCACAAGACAATCCAGTTCTTGCGACAGTCAGCAACAGCAACAAGTGCACTTCGAACGGATATGCACATTCTCGAAGGACTCCAGAGAGACCTCTTCAGCTATGATCCCAGGACTAACTCGAGCTTCTCGAGCGGCACAAGCGCACCGGGCTACCACACCCCAAGACCCGTTGCGATGGCTGCACCGCCACAGATGCCTCATTCACTGAGCGATCAAGGACACCCACGTTCTATGCCTCATCATCTTCAGATGACGTCGCATGGACAGTAATAGGATCAACGGAATACCACATTTAGTCTTGTACTCAGGACTTTCATTATCAACTTATCATCATGAAAATGGCGTTTTGGGGACTGATTCAAACGCGCCGCAAGAAACCAAGGAAGCGCGCCATAGCATGGCAGTGCGTTTCAAGACGCCTCGCCAACAAGATATACTTGACGGATAACGCAACAATACCCATTTGCGCATGGATCGCGCACTATTGGACGTGATCAGGAAGAAAGGTGCTCCGGCTCGCACCATTATATCGAGCACTGGTTTTTTGGATTGGTTCTAGCCTGTTCCAGAGCCACACGACTCATTACAGTGTACCATCAGCAGCGACGTACAACAAAAGAATACCCCTTTGGGGTGCGAACCCCAACTTGAACACATATGGTTGTATATACATTGATGGGTGTATATTCTCTTTTGGCTTTGCCTGTCATTTATTTGATTCCGCTTATAGAGACTCATCTGTCGTTTGTGTTTTGATTATTTAAAGAATTGCATTGCATGGTTATCTGGTAAGGGAAATGATATTTTTTGAACATCATGATCTCGATTTTCCTTTTTTACATGGAGGGACTCGGAGGAGATACCATCTATGGTTGTTGAGCATTACATATAGCACATACCTACATATTGGATAAGGGAGAGGAGGAAAATTCTTGCAAGCTTACCATCATTCTGTTTTCTGGATATTTAGAGGCAACTCAGCCAAAAAGGAGGCCAAAAATATACATAGCCTACAAAGCAATTATTTCAATTGGTTCAGTTCAACTGAGTGAAGTCAGGAAAGAAAGACATGCGATGCATTTGTTGTTTAAATGACGTCATGAAGAACCTCGTTCTATCATCCTGGCATCTCTCCTGCATCACATTCATTGCTTGCAGTATTTCGCTCATGGCCAGCAAATACCAAACAACCTAGACCAGGGAAGGTAGACATGTCCCCTGCCCCTGAAGATGCAGTATGCATACCTACCTAGTATCGTACAGTACATGAAAAGGCGTGGGGGCAGGCACCATTTGTTGCAGTTGCAGTGTACGTACTGCCTGCCCGGGCTTGATCTGAGCTTTCCCCCACTAAAAGCAATGGTTTCTAGAAGACCTTGCATACTTCTTCGGCGTTTCCGTTTGTGCTTCTAGAACGTTATGATAGCAACGTTTAAAAAAGGGGGCTACACACTGCTGGGCAACTTGACTCAGTCGAAATGATGAATCGAATTCATCTCTATACACCGACTCTCAAATTCACTCCACTCCATTCCATTCTATCCTACCGTACAATCTCGAGTCATTCTGACGACTAGCTCTGAATCCGGAGATCACAGGGATTCAAGTTTCGCGCCGACAAGGAAAAAGCAATCATTGTTACCTGTCACAAAGATTTACAGCAGGGGTAGCGAAACACGAGAACCACATGAGCAGGCATTGGCTACGAGTATTATGAGAACCACTCTGTACGTAAGATACCAATTCGTGTTTTCTCTTTGGCATGCTGGTAGCAAGGCGGTCAATGAACCAGATACCAAGAGCATACAGTAAGTACGAGGGCGACCGTTGCTATCAAAGTTGCCTTTCCCCCGAGACATTTGCGAAATCTGTACTCTACTGGTGCAAGATCAGCGGTCGAGACATGATGACCTGTATGTCCAAGGCAATCTCATCAGTCATGAACCAATGGCATGTGTCCTGCCTTGTGATACAGTGTCTATGCACCGATCTTGTAGAACTTCTCTCCGAATTCTTCTTCCAACAACTTGAATGCCTTCAGGACGAACATTAACCCACCCTTTCGGTCTCCCTCTGATAGATTTCCTGAAGTGTTGGCAGCAGTTGACCCAATGCTTTCGTTCTCTGACTCTTCACTTTCATCATCATCCCAACTATCTGCAACTTTGATCTTGGACTTGCTCTTTGCAGAGAGCTTGGGAGTCTTATCAACGACCTCAGATGGATTTTGTATCTCGAATTCGTCCAGACCCACGCCCTGTTCATCCATCTGATTGTCATCTTCGTGAAGAACATCCCAGTCGTAGTCTTCCTCAGCACTCATGACGCCCTTGAGACTGGTCACAATGGTCTTGAGTGTGAGTGAAAAGTCTTTGAGGTGGAACCAAACATCTCCCTGTTTGATACGGTTGTCGCGCACTAGTACCGGCAAACTGCCATGTTTGAAAAAGTCATAGAGATAAGCGTTGAATTCGGTATGAGTGTCGTGCGGGTAGATAGGGATAAATGGTATAGCGGATTCTTCTAAGAAGACACCGCTCCTCACGTCTGAACACAACTCCTTGATGGATGTGAAGTTATCACCAAATCCAGACAGAGCTGCAAATGGTGACCGAACGATGGGCCGGTTTCCACCCATGAAAGAGGGCTTGCATGCATCCTTAGGCACAGATGATACTTTAGTCAAAGGCAATTCTCGGTCTGGTTTGTCTCCGAGGTGCTGGTTGATGTACGACTCGACGTAGTCTTTAAAGATGGATAATGTATCCTGATTGTGGCGCACGAGGAGCTTCTCTGCTGAATCTGGCAGACGTCTGAGAAAGATCTCCGAAGACGACCGGGCTGCTACAGCGGCAATCTTTGAAGTTCGCTCTACGGGAATGCGGTTGAAAAGATGACTGAGCACCAGCATCAGCTCCCTAAGGACTCGTTCACGAGCATTTTCGATATCTTCGCATAAGGCATGAAAATACCCACCCCGAAGTAAGGAGTGGATGCAAAAACAGCATTCTCTGTAAAGTACAGGTGACCAACTAGTCCTGCAAAGTTCACAGGTGCTCCTTTAGCCGATATAAGGTTCTGTCGTCGCAAATACTCGATCGAAAATCGCAGGTGGTGCTTTACAGACATCTCAGCCTCTGGTCCTCCTAGGTACAGCCGAGTTTGCGACAAAAGTGAGTGTACTGCATTGACTGCAAAGTCGCAGTTCTTTGTGCCATCGAGAAGACCAAGAAGGCGGAGAATGAGGGTTGTCGAGATCGGGAATTGGCCTTTGAGGGCCGGGAGGCGCGAGGACATGATTTCGTGAACCCGTTCTGGACGAATGCCATTGAAGACAATATTACCTAAGAGATCAAAGCCTCTCCGTCCGGCACGGCCAGAAGCCTGTCGATAGTTCTGAGGGGATAAGAAAACAGAATCGCCACTGAACACAACGGTTTTGCAGGGCATGTTGATACCAAGAGCCAACGTTCCAGTGGCAACAACGACTCTGAGATAACCCTGACGGAACAGCATCTCCACTCTGAACTCTGTTAGCTAGATCCAGGTGGTATGGCGGACTACTTGATAAGGTAGTATGTTCTTAAAGGAGACCACTTACACTTGACGATATCGTCGGTTCATACCAGCATGGTGGACACCCAACCCACGACGAAGAGCATCTACCAGCCACGAAGCAACTTTGTCCTTACTCAGACTGCACACCATATCGTTGAGCTGACTTTGCTGTGCCTTTTTTGTGTCTGCAAAGCTGAATCGATCCAACGGCGCATTTGGATCGAAGCTTTCCCACACGCTGGTCTCAATGCTGGCCTCTTCACGAGCCAAGTCCAGCTTGGAAAGGTTACCTTCTATTGTTTTGGATCGATCAAGAGAAGGACCACTCTCCTTTTGTTTTCTCCATTGCTCAAACTTCTGGACCTTTTGCCGCCATGCCTGGTCTTTTTCTTTGAAGTCATCTTCTGCGGCTTTGAGTTGAGACAGCATGTGCTGGACACATTGTTCGCATTCTTGGCGGTCATAGTTGAAGACGAGAGCCGGTAGAGCCCCTAGGGTGTCAAGTTCACAAATCAAAGGGAACAGTGTCGTGAAGTGTCGCTCGGGAGCAGCGACAGGCTCATCGGAAGACCTTGGGTTTCCAAGACTCACCTGAAGGGTTGGAAACGACGAGTTCTCCCCTTCCATAGCTCCCTTAAGCATAGATTTAAGACCCTTTTCCCATTCAATAACATGATGCTTTGCAATCAACTCGGGTAAGACTTTCGTAGGGTCTAGTTGATCTAGTTCGGGCAAAAGGTCTGACGGAAATATCTTGCACATGTGCTTCCATAGCGTGAGACAATCTCGACCCTCGAATTTCACGTCGTCTAACGCAAATCTGTTCCTACATGACATTAGTAATCATCATAAAGGGCAGCAAAAAAAAAAAAAAAAAAA